AATTTTCGGCCTATTGTAATAGTATTTGAAATAGTATTTGAAAATATTTGGACGTATAGCCAATGCAGTCAAATTACATCACAGCCAGAAAAATTATTGATTTACATGGTTTTTTGTCGCTGAAAGTTATGAAAATTAAAAATAAAACATTGAGTGGCTCTGGCACATGGGGAAAAGGTTTAAGGATTTAAGCCCTTGACTGAGTGCAATGTGGAATGATCATTCTTTGAAGATGTTGGTAATTACAAAATGCATTGAGTCTCGGGCTTAAATTATTTTCACACATTGCAAAATATTTTTACCATGTCACCTAAAAGATACGAAACCACTAAAATGACATATTTTAAATGAAACTTTTTGCAAGGGTCAAGTTGGCAAACCACCAATTTTTATCTGTTGAGTGAACTTGTCACCTTTGCAACCACCTAAGGAATGACCTTGGATGCGTTATTGGTTATTTCACGCACAATGCGTTATGTGAAATACTGTGTTCGGATTGGCTGAAATCGGACACACCTTGTCTAGCTATGTGTGAATTCCAAACTAATGGAGGGTAGTGTAGGCATAGTGTAATTTGACAAACTTAGTCTAGGCAATCAAAACACAGTATTTCATATAACTGCATTACATTCTATAACCAACAACTCTCCATTAAACTCATCGGACCCTACCCTGTCGGCGCCCGTACGGTCACCGTAGGATTATCGTACGTACGGCTTTCGGTGATATCGTATGATCATCCTGTCATTTCGTACAACAATGCAAACGTAATGATAAAATCAACTTGATTCTAATTACATTTCAAAAGTTTGCCAGAGACTATACGCATTAATGTTGAGAGATAATATGGGTCACATTTGCTTCGATTTCCATTACTATACGATGAGTATGTTGATCTTTTGGGACAACTCGCGTATACTGTACATGTAGATATAAACTTTCCACAATCTCCATATATCAGCATATGATCTGAACAATTACAGGTACCGTATTCTGGTATAAGTGTAATCATTTTTTAACAAACTACTCAATCGGCCGGGCGCGGGGACGAGCTTCCTCGTCAAATTCCTATCCCTTTGGGCAATATTGTGTATCAAATTAATTTACAAACATTTCAAGTTGTCATCGTACCGCAATAAAACAATCAAGATCATTTTTAATTTACATATTGTGGTTAAAAGCAAATATGGCCTTACTTCCCGTACTCAATCTACACCTGATTCCAATTCTCCCTTTCGCGATTCGCTCTTTGAATCAGAACGTTCGCAAATATGTACTGAAAAAGCACTCAAAAAGGACAAAATTTGATTGGTTTATATTTTCTCACTATGCATTTCGCGTAGCAATTTGCGTGACCCGAAAGTTCTAAATCAAACTAATTACGCAATTTTGTTTTTACACCCGCACGCTAAATAAAACAATGACAACATCGGAAGTAATCTTCTTTGTCATTGCTTTAATAGTCTGTATAACGAGTTTTATCAATAAAAGATTGTACAATGAACAACAAAATTCGGAAACGAGTACTATAGATTTGCTTTCGTACCACTGAACAGAGTGACCTAGATAATTGCGACGCTTCTTCTTTGGTCTACTGCTCAGTTATTTGTTGGTTTTCAACATAACTCTATGATGTTATTGTTGATGAATACTTTCATTCCGTTGTTGCATCGATGATGCAGTTTGTAGTGCGGTAAGATTGGCATGAAAGTATTGAAAGTCGAATGGAATTGTTTTTTCCAGTATGGCGACTAGTCAACTGATCATGTGACCTTCTCTTCCGGAATATTTTCTCACTTTCCAATCATCGTTTTCACCACGCTATGAATCAATACGATAAAAGAAATAGCTGTTATATTAAGATTAATACAAGATCAATCGTTTCTAATAATTTTTTCTGTACCCTCGTACGGGAATATGAACGAATATATCGTTTGAAAAATAGGTGTTAAAATCCCCATGTTAAACCTATGAGGGAAAACAAGGAAGTATAAATTTGTTCCTCCTCGAACTGCATCATGGGAAATATTTTGACCTTATAAGGAAAGATTTTCGCGTCTCCTCTTTTGAAGAGGGAACAGCGATTTCGAGAATTTAAATGTTGCGAGATGACTTGCATGGCCTACACGCTCTATTTTAGTTTTACTATTGCCATTAGAGATGTCATGATCTTACTTTTAGATTTTAATTTACGAGTTTACTTTTTGAGCTTTTGTATCATCCATTTTCTCGTCCTTCGAACGTCGTCCAAAATAGTTCTCTGTATATCATTTTAAGATGTTAGAGCAAACATTTCAGGACTTATGGGACAACCCTCGTATTCTGTACATGTAGATATAAACGTTCCACAATCGCCCATCATGACAGGATCATGATGATAACCCATGGCATCTCATTTGTTCTCAGCCCTGAGAAAGGTGAAACCGAAAGATGCTATGAGTATCAGAATGCAATCGCCATATGATCTGAACAATTCCAGGTATCGTAGTCTGTTATAAGTGTTAGAAGGAAGTTTTCATTTTCCTCTGTTGTGTCATATTCCTCGCCCAATAATCAAACAATATTTGTCTTCTTGATATGTAATCGAGAGTACCATGTGTGTACCCTCTGGCGTGGTATTTAGATATTCCAAGATGAGCGTTTGTGTTTTCATCGAAGATATCTTTTGACTGAAACATTAATGAATGGAAGCTATAAAATAATGTATAAAAAGTTCAGGATTTCCATTGCGAGGACAGAATGATGTACTGTTTCGTTTTAAAATACATTTTTATAAAATCTGTTATAAAATACATGTATATCATAACCCAGCTTATTATTGTATTATGTGTTTTTATTAAAAACCTACCTCGTATGTACCCTTTGCATTCGTTTGACTTCACTTCTTAAAAGATCATGGTTTGAGTTTACACCGGTCGACCAGTCAATCCCCCAAACAGCAACCGACAATTAACATGATTAATCGCAGTGATATATCTCACCTTTCGTTTCACATTCGCATTTGACTCTAAATGACAACTCGTAATGGGCACTGGTATTTTGAATTCTTACGCCATTTTATGCAAATCGCTTATTGTGCAACGATTAAAATGCTTTGATAGTACATTACGTTTGTTGTTCTTAAATTCCAAGTTGGTTATAATTACTGCATATTCAGGATATAAACTTGAACTAACTGCTGACCTGTGGACGTTATACACAGTATTACAAATTACAATGATCGGTCAACTGGTCAAGTAGGAGTCTGTTTGGTAAACTCAGGCTTGCGGTTTGTTAACATACAATGTTACGCATCTCTTCAGATTGAAATTGACACAATAGCCCACAAGATAGAAAAGCACATTTCAATATTGTATGATTTATGTATAAGGAGCTCCTCCCTTTATCTTTCCGGATTCACTCAACCTAAAAATGTATTAAATGTATAAATGTACAAATATCTGCCTTAAGGCATGATTTAATGTAATTTGGGAGATTCAATGGTTTTATCAGTTGACTTCATACACATGCATTGTAAGCCCCTGAGACCTTTACATTAAATCCTTGTGTATATGCCACGGTAAGATCATTCATATGTCTGTATGTCAGGGTAAAAAAAGATAATTTAGTCAAGAGTCATCCTTCTCGGATCAATACCTCAACAAGTCAATAAAGGACGATAAAAAAGTGCAGGCCTAAAATATTTTAAGGGTCACGAGAAGTGGGCCATTTGGGCTAATAATGGCCTGCTTTGTCATTAATCGGCCTCTTAATTTTCAAGCAACTAAACATTTGGAGTATAGGGGTCTAGACTTTTTCGTACGATTTTTATCAAAGTAGAGCAAACCCCATGACATTGCCAAAAGCTGGCTTCCCCCTCAATAAACTCGTGTTTTCGTGCCTGTGTCCAATACTCTTTTATACAAAAACATTATATTATAAACAGCTGGAAACTTTATATCATTACTCACAATATTATTCGTCATTCCAATGTTGATTGGCAGTGGTACAGCATATAGAAAATAGTTAAATAACAATGGCAAGAATATTGTAACGATGATCTCAAAACTAAAAATAAACTACATATTATAGAGGACTTAAAATATTAGGTATACGCAATAGTTAAACCGTACATGGTGTTGCAATGCGTAAGTGTATCTTTTGTTATGAAATCTACCTGAATACACTTGTCATTCTTAATCCATTAAAATCAAACCGAATATCTCAATGATCAAATAAGATACACACGCGGTCCTAACTTCGACCGTTAATTTGAATTTTTGACCTACCGGATGTTTAAAAATTGGTCCCCAGTTGTAAGAAGGCCTTCTAACAGCTGGGGACCAAAACGCTGCTAGAACGAGGGACTCTTTACAATAAAGTAATGCACCGACAGAAAGGCAATTTTGTTCTGCTTTTAATGGTAAAGGTTTGAAGAAAAACGGTGCAGTATGAGACTCGCAATCCTTGATTTTCAAATTAACGGTCGAAGATAGACCGCGTGATACAGTCACGACAAAAACTGAGCAACTTATATACGAGTACATGTTTTATCTTGTGGATTAAAGTGGTGAGGTCAATTGAAATAAATAGAGAAGCGCATTGGCACAATATACACTTCTACAGATTTAAATCAGACATCAAGGAAAGGGTTCCAGATCGCTTCACATGTAACATTCACAAGTGCTCAGAACAGGGGGTACTGCATGATTTTGAAAGGATGTATGACCGAAGCTATGGGCCTGATATCTCAATTCGATCCAGCCAATTTATTTCCGATAAAATCAGATAACACAACAGGCAAATTTTTCAAATTTTCAATTTTTTAATTTGTCAAAGGCAATTCTTTCATCATGTTTGGAGATAGAAATATGACTGATGAATATTTTTTTATTGGAGTTCTTGGTTACCTCTTAAATGAAGTTATTAAACATTGTTAAATCAACTAAACATGCCAACACTCTCAAAATTTGAACCAGACTTATAATATAGTGAGCATTATATACCTGAGACCTGATTCATCGTTTCAAAGTGGTAAAATGCTACCGTATACGCAAGGGAGGAGACCATATTTACTCGATTGGGAATCACGAGAACATACAAAGAAAACGTTTAGAAGGAAACGCGAAACTTAAAGGTACGATTTAAGTAGAATTATGATGTCGAAATTGATCAAATAAGACACACCATAAACACATTAAGGATACCTTATGCTATGCATGTACGCTTGGGACTGATACATAATGTATATTTTTGTTTTCTAGCCACGTATGTAGCGATCCAGTACAGCGTGTATTTTGAAGCACGTTGGCAAGTTATTTGAAGAGTTATACAAGAAGCAAGTTCGTTGTTTTGCTAACAATATGATGAATTGATTCTGGTGGAAGATATACTTGTAAGTTAAACTTATTTAAATAGTTGCACATATCTTTAAGAATAATATTATTGTGATATTCCCATTCTAACTTGAGCTAAAAATAAGAAGGCGTATTCCTAATTCACACGTGTGGCATCTGGGAATAACATCATACAATAATAATTTGGCCGCGCCTGGAGAGCCTTAAAATTTAAGGCTCTCTAGCCAAAATGCTAAAGAGCCTTAAATTTTAAGGTTCTTTAGCATTTCGGCTAAAGAGCCTTAAATTTAAAGGCTCTTTAGCATTTTGATAGCCAATTCTGCTAGAGAGCCTTAAAGGAATTCCAGGCGACAGAAATGACGAAATATTGCTTCTGGGACAAGATCAAACGACTTTGACATACATGTATTCTATACCCAACCTATTTTGTAATTTAACAAATCAGCACAAATATACATACCATACTAGCAGATATCGGACAAATTCAAAAAGAAATATTTTTTGATCAATAAAATCACTGATTATTAAACCGGAAGTGTCTTCTGAGGTCCGTAAAGAAGATGAAGAAGAAAACATATAAAGATTTCAGTCAATTCAATTTTGCCGTCGATTTAATTTTAAATGGTTTTGGATAATCTTTGAATGCTTACTATGACTTCTATTAGTACTGTTTTGACTTCCCCACTTCATAAACAGAACATTATCATTTTTTACTCGACTCATAAATTTACTTCCGGTCTACCGGGAAAAATAAATGTTCTAAAACCTTTTCAATCCTCAGTCTAAATTTGGCTTTTTAAAGGTTCAAACGATGACTTTGAATGGACCTTTATGCATATATCGAAAAAAGGTTCACCAGCGAAGGTGTAAGACCAGGCAAAAGTTTTGAAAAAATATCGTGTCAGCTGGAAAATCCTAAAAACAGCATTGAAATCAGCATTATCACTTTTTGCTCGACTCATAAATTACTTCCGATCTACCGAGAGAAATAAAAGTTCTTAGATCCTTTTCAATCCTCAGTCTAAATTTGACTTTTTAAAGGTTCAAACATCGATTTTGAACGGACCTTCATGTACATGTATGTATCGAAAATATATGTCTCTGGTTCACCAGAGAAGGTGTAAGACCAGGCAATCACGTATATAGCCAGAAAAATGTTATTTTTACCATTTTATCCACTATACATGTAAATCGCAACGTCTGTTTAGCAAATATGTGCTCTCTCATGTGCTTAAATTCTCACTTGTGAGGAAGACGTTTTTGCAAAATATTATGCAAAAATATCTCGTCACGTGAAAAACTCTAAAAAACAGCATTGAGATCTAATGGGCAATAGATTTGGAAGTATATTCTGTGATATCCCTGGGCTGATGTCCCTGCATTCACGATAAACTGTGTCAAGATGTGCTATATCTAGAAGAAACAAGATCCCTTTTCATCCCCAGGTCTGCATCATACTTTTTGCCATCTTAAAATGGGATTCCCTGTATTCTCAAAGCTTGTGACTATAGCAAAGCCAATACAAGTGATTAAATTCATTAAACATTGATGATTGAGCGATGGTGCAAGCCCAGGAATTCTAGCAAAAATGTGTACATAATTTCCGGACCTCAGAGAACAAACTTCCGGCTTGTTATTCATAAAAAAAGTGCTTCGGCGGGGATTCGAACCCACGCAGCAGAAGTGAGAAGCGAGCATCCTAACCACTATACCAGAGTGTTTTTCCGTGATTGGATAAAATCTTTACTGATGAACATGTGTGAAATTTTTTAAGTGGCATTCTGGGTTGAAAAACTTTCGAGAGTGTTGTTTTATCATTTTATTGTTTAGATGACGAAAACTTCAATAAAAAACAATATAAACACGGATTATAAACACAAAGGCTCTCTAGCCAAAATGCTAAAGAGCCTTAAATTTTAAGGCTCTTTAGCAATTTGGCTAAAGAGCCTTAAATTTTAAGGTACTCCAGACAGTTCGTAATAATTTAAAGATGAATGGGTACCTCAGTGAAATTGAATAATTATAAAACCGTTCACGCGTGTATCTCCTTCACATATGCCTAAAGTTGCTTCTTCAGAAAATATAGCTTACAAGGGTCGATCCAAAAGTTTTGCATCGTGTGCTCTAAAAATCTTAATACTTCAAGAGTATTTTTCATATCTTATCTCATCCACCCCATATGTAGTAGTTTCATTCTGCGTAAAATAAGCAATACATTTGATCAGTAACATAGTTTTCTGAAAATGAAATAGCGCTTCAGTTGCTGAAATTACCAATACGGTTTAATTCATTCCAGCTCCATATACCCTGTTGTTGTATTGCTATGGTAACTAGATGCATATGTTGAATTTTGAATTCATGGTTTATCTATACACAAAATGAAGCTACAATGCAGGGGGCGATTAAGGCAAAATATGTATATTATTCGTCAAAGATAAAGATTTTAGAGCAAACGGTTGAGACCTTTTGGATCAATCCTCGTACACCAATTTTTGAATTTGAACCTGATGTGATATGTCATAAGTACAAGCGGATAACATAAGCAATTTGCATTGATACATCTGAGACAGTTACGAGGTGGTGTTAATTTCACAGTTTGAAATGCTATATCTTGTAATCCCACTCCATATGTTAATAGGATTTTAAAGACCCAGATAAAGCCACTTGTTGTAGTCGTACACAATGATATCAATATTTGATATGGAAAACTTCTTCTGAAGGGACTTTTTGTTCGAAACATTCTCAACTAATTTTGAATGATTTTGTTGTCAGTTGTCAAACACATTTAATAAGCAGTGATAATATAAATCCCATCGATTGCAAGCATATATATATACATGTATACTGATCTATTTTATGTTGGAAAATTATAACAATTGTTTCGGGAACGAAAGAGAAATGAACTCACAAACGCAGGAAAGTGGTTCAGAAAAAGAGACACATACATTTAAAAATACAACATTACAATCAGCGACGGCTTTGCGAATGATGTTGACCCTTGAAATGCCTATGAGCAGAAACGATTTTGAATTCAAATATATTTTTTGACACAAAAGGATGAAACTAAAGATTGACACTATTAGAAAAAATGAAACCAGTAAGATAATAGTAAAATAGAATGGTAGATTAGTGAAATTGTCATTTTAAAGTATATCATCTAATTTGTCATGTTTTGTTAATATTTTGTATGTACAGTTTTCATAGTAGATAAATATAAAGCTTTCTCATGGAGAAAGTTTTCCATGATTAAAATGAATACTTCAATTCAGATATTATAAATTTATTGTGTTAAATCAATCCTCAAGTGTGGTAATTTTCCAAATATTACACAGTATGTAGATTGTATGATTAACAAGTTCAATGGTGTCATCACATGCAATATACTTATTTATAGATTTGTCTTAAGGGTCAGCCCTTACAAATACATTTAACATTGATAATCAAATTATGGTGAAAAGAAAAAGGAAATAAAAGAATCAAAATAATTTCAACAAAATAATTTCATTGTAGGATGAACCTCAAATGCAATATATGATTTAATAAATGATTTTTGTGGTTGATTCACAGAACTCCTTCAAGATTTATCAAGAAGGGAAAATTCATTCATATTAGATGCATATCTTTCATATGACCACACATGTTTTAAATGCTTGGTATCATCTCCAGAACTAAATACCGTATCGAATACTACCTACTCTGTATATGGTATAACCAAGTATGAGAGTACGAGACCACATTTTAGGACTTTCATCAAAATACAAAATACAAAAACTAAACCTATATCATTTTATTGAGAATTTATCTTTTGATAAAAAAGCAAAATTAATGTGTCGCATACGCAAGCAGTGAGTTATGTTCAAACATGGGCTTTCAATTAGTTGAAAGCCCATGGTTCAAACAAATACAAAAGTATTAACATCAATCATGTATTTAAAGAATTTTTAAGACCAAGCTTGATACTTTATGGATGGGCTAATGGAACCATCTTGGTATCAAATGATGCTCGATTGAAAGAAACTTATTCGCTTTTCCTACCCCAATCGAATGATTTTTGATTTAGAGAATGCCATTCGCTTTGTCCACCTTTTAATAATGTCTGAATGATGAAACTGACCTTATTGCCTACCTTAAGGCTTTTAGCTATGTAATTCTACTAGAGAAGAATTGACTTTGCTTCCAGGCAGAAACGAGATAAAAAGAGATGGAGTCATTGCAGCCTCATTCGCCACTTGAGTAGACCAACCGTTGCGTAATATAGACAGGTAAACAGGGCCGACAATATTTATCTGTGTGAATAATTAAGTGAACTATTGTGTTGCCCTATTCCATGACATTCCAAGAATTGGCAAGAGACTCGAGTAACCACTGGATTTATCCTACAAGTCTTGTACTTCATACCTGATACCTATTGTGTGCTGTAAACAGGCAGAGTCATTTAAAACTCAGATCTCTTTCTAACAAGAAGCTGCCATCAATTATGTAAAGATATATGCAGAGGGTGCGTGGTTATATAATTCATTCGAACATGACTGTATTCACGCCTTCTATAAACTGTAAACAAAGTCAACATTTCACCCGGGGTATATTCGCGAACAAAATCCCTGGTAATACGTGCAATGTGTGACGTCATAACGACGGGACGTAGTAATGGCGGTTCATAATGAATATTAAAGA